TGTGTCCTCAATTTCTTTTTCTATTTTAAAAGGGAAATATCAGGGGGCTTTTTAGACCCCTAATATTTCCCCAAAGCCCCCCAAGAGTAAAAAAAAAAAAAATAATAAATAATGAAAATAAAATAGTACAAAATAAATTAAAAAAACGTTGTTTTTTTCTTGCCTCGGGCGCAAAAGGAGCTGGCTACGGCTTTGCTCCCGTGGTGCTCATGCGGCTGCCGGATGAAAGTGTCAGACGCTGCAGATGGAAAGGTGCAGGACACCCCATGTGCAACGTCGGCCACACGAGCACCACGGTAGGACAGGACGCCAGGACATGTAGGGCGCACTGGAATGTAAGCCGGCCGACTCCCTGCGTTCAGGTGCGGGAGGGGGTGTGGAGCTGTATTGAAGTCAATGGCATCGCCCACAGTGTGATCGCCCGCACTCAGAAAGCAGGCACATTAGTGCCTGCATTCCGGTCCCGTGTGATCTGCAAAAATAGGGCTTGCAGCATTTTTGCGGATCGCACTGGACTGGAACACAGGCACTAATGCAGGCGATCGCACTGTGGGCGAGGGGCCTGCCTGCGGTGCCATTGACTTCAATGCACCGCCACGCCCCCTCCCGCCCCTGAATGCAGGTGTTTTTTTGTTGGTAGATCTCAATGAGCTCGTCATTTGAAAAGTAGATCTCCAGACGAAAAATAGTGGGCGCCCCTGTCATAGATCATGGGCTGCCCCTGGTCACTAGAGACGTTTACAGCTCCTGAGGAGCACAAAACATATACTTCTCATGGATACTGGTCTGCGAATGCTCTGGGACCACATTGTAACCCCTCATTTGCTGGACAGAAGGAGGCAGCGTGCTGCATATCTAGACTGTGGAGCTCGGAACAGATCCAAGGTTGCAGATCACAATATAATTAGGTGCTTTTCTTGTGATTTCAGATTACATCTCAACATGTCATTTTGTAATTAACATGGGATATAGATATATATATATATATATATAATATGGACGTGG